TTTATACGAAGAATAGTTTTTTTTTAAATTAATGGACGGTGTATTTTGGTCTCAGAGGTTAAGTATTTACCGTATTTTCCGGACTATAAGCCGCTACTATTTTCCCACCTTTTGAACCATGCGGCTTTTAAGAAACTGCAGCTTTTCTGTGGATTTTTCCTAACAGCCAGAGGGGGAAGTCAAAGTTGGAAATGAAAGAATAAGGGGCTAATTTTCATTTAGCACAAGAACATGCTAGCAGCAGGCACGACGGAAAACAAATGTTCTGAATTCACACATTTTGACGTTTATTTGCTGCATTAAAGCTGCCGAATCAATGAGGAGACTGAGCTAAACTCCTGCAGAGCTAAAATAAAGAGCTGATGAAGCTCCATCTTTCAGTAGAAGCCCTCACTGCTGCGAGCTAACAAGCTAACGGGAGCTAGCAGTCCGCTTCGTCCATATCTCACTACCTGATTCGCTCCGGAAGCACAATCAGTCCTGCCCATGTACGAACAGAAGTACATCCTGGTATCTATAAATATTCTAATTATGGAACTAAAAATTACTTATTTATATCCTTAACTCTCTAAAGAACGCTAAAACAAAAAATGTTTCATGACTTTTCTAAGACATTTTTGATGCTTTTTCCATTTTCTCCATTAAACAGCTTCTCTGATGTCATCATGGGACATGATCAGAGCAGTCCGGCAAAGAAGGATTAAACCAAGGAAGAATTGGGACGAAGGAAGGAAGGAAGGAAGGAAGGAAGGAAGAATTCGGAATGAAGGAAGGAAGCGAGGGAGGAAGAATTGTGGAGGAAGGAAAGAAGGAAGAATTGGGACGAAGGAAGGAAGGAAGGAAGAATTGGGAGGAAGCAGGAAGGAAGGAAGGAAGGAAGGAAGGAAGGAAGGAAGGAAGGAAGGAAGGAAGGAAGGAAGGAAGGAAGAATTGGGAAGAAGGAAGGAAGGAAGGAAGAATTTGGAGGGAGGGAAGAAGGAAGGAAGGACGGAAGGAAGGAAGGAAGGAAGGAAGACTTGGGACGAAGAAAGGAAAGAAGGAAGAATTGGGAAGGAGAGGAAGGAAGGAAGCGAGGGAGGAAGAATTTGGAGGAAGGGAGGANGGCTTTTAAGAAACTGCAGCTTTTCTGTGGATTTTTCCTAACAGCCAGAGGGGGAAGTCAAAGTTGGAAATGAAAGAATAAGGGGCTAATTTTCATTTAGCACAAGAACATGCTAGCAGCAGGTACGACGGAGAACAAATGTTCTGAATTTTACACATTTTGACATTTATTTGCCGCATTAAAGCTGCCGAATCAATCAAGAAGCTGATGAAGCTCCATCTTTCAGCTGCGAGCTAACAAGCTAACGGGAGCTAGCATTCTTCTTTGTCCATATCTCACTACCTGATTCGCTCCGGAAACACATTCAGTCCTGCGCATGTGCGAACAGAAGCACATCCTGGTGTCCATAAATAATGTAATTATGGAACTAAAATTACTTATTTATATCCTTAGCTCTCTAAAGAACGCTAAAACACATCTTTAAAAAATGTTTCATGACTTTTCTGAGACATTTTTGATGCTTTTTCCATTTTCTCCGTCAAACAGCTTCTCTGATGTCATCATGGGACATGATCAGAGCAGTCTGGCAAAGAAGGATTAAACCAAGGAAGGAAGGAAGGAAGGAAGGAAGGAAGGAAGGAAGAATTGGGACGAAGGAAGGAAGGAGGGAAGGAAGAATTGGGAGGGAGGGAAGAAGGAAGCGAGGAAGGAAGGAAGGAAGGAAGACTTGGGATGAAGGAAGGAAGGAAGGAAGGAAGAATTGGGAGGAAGGAAGGAACGAAGGAAGGAAGAATTGGGAGGAAGGAAGGGAGGAAGGAAGGAAGAATTGGGACGAAGGAAGGAAGGAAGAAAGAATTGGGACGAAGGAAGGAAGGAAGGAAGGATTGGGACGAAGGAAGGAAGGAAGATAGAATTGGGAGGGAGGGAAGAAGGAAGCGAGGAAGGAAGCAAGGAAGGAAGACTTGGGACGAAGGAAGGAAGGAAGGAAGACTTGGGACAAAGGAAGGAAGGAAGAAAGAATTGGGACGAAGGAAGGAAGGAAGGAAGGATTGCTACGAAGGAAGGAAGAAGGGAAGGAAGAATTGGGAGGGAGGGAAGAAGGAAGTGAGGAAGGAAGGAAGGAAGACTTGGGACGAAGGAAGGAAGGAAGGAAGAATTGGGAGGAAGGAAGGAACGAAGGAAGGAAGAATTGGGAGGAAGGAAGGAACGAAGGAAGGAAGAATTGGGAGGAAGGAAG